TGCCTTGTTCCTGTCTCCTTTGCTATAATAGCTGCTTTTATAAACAGAGAAAAAGGACCATAGGAAAAAAAAAAAAAACTTTTCTCCATGTACTCAAATGGGGTTTTACATAAGGCACTGTGGAAGTATCATTAAAAAGAGAAAAGTATTTAAAGTAAAGACATTTAAATAACTAACCCCTTCTTTCCACAGTCACACTCATCTGGTCTTGTCCTCTTTAGGTGGCCTCTTACTTCCCGGAGATTTTTAATTTTGTCCTGAAGTGCTTCAATCTGGGGAAACAAACACATATTTCCTCAGACTATCGTGACAAATAATTAACCTGTGTGAGTGTCAGGCTATGTCAGAGTATGCTCACCTCCTGGTCGACATAACTCTTATGGTCTTTCCAGGCTCTGGAGGACTGATAGATTTCTCTTTCACAATGGACACTGTCATTCATCAAGATATAACACCTACAATCAGTACAAAAAAAAAAAAACTGTTAAACTTTGCTCTTTTGACCTATATGTGGTACAAATGCATGTGAGAAGTGAAGTTAGTATTGTGGTATTCTTTACATTGTAGGGGAAGGAAAGGCTGCTTTCTTACTTATGGGTAACTTTCACAGAGTTTGGGTATGCCACAGCATTTCTATCATCTGCCAGCATTTCTTTTGAACCGTCATTTGTCCCCAAACTAAACTCCGGGTCTTCTGAGTTGTAGTGACGTTTTGAGATGACACGCTGGCGGACAGATGACTGATCATCCGCTTGGAGGTCAATGTCATATATCTGGCCTTCAAACTCCACAGACAGAGACCTAGTAGGCCGGGTATGAACAAAACGTGGCCGATAACCTATAAGAAAGGCAAAAACCACAAACCAGATACGTTTTTATTCTTCAATTTTACTAATTTATTAAACTTGGTGGCAATTTCTGACTTCAGTTTTACTAAAAAAAAAAAAAAAAAAAAATTTCACCCCTATGCCCAACTCTGTGCTATCAAGCATCATTCTGGAGTACATCTTTTTAGGGTAATTAACACTCATATTTCGGTTGCACCTTTTTCAAGCAACACTAGAGGGCATCAAACCATAGTCCCAGCAATACAAGGCGACATCCACAGAACAAATTCCAGGACTTGTTGAAGGATGTCAGCCTTTTCTATGCATCTGTCTCCTTTTAGAGCATAAATAAATAATTACAGAAAAACTTGAGCCTTTTCAAATACTTATTTTTCTCCAATTGGTACTGGGAGATGATATCAATACAGCGTTGCAAGCAAAGAAAAGTTTAACTGAAGCACTCTGCCATATCCTACATCCTATATACCCAAATCTGTGTCACTTCAGTTAACTGCCTGCTGGATAAAGAAAAGAAAAACACTGGCCATGATTTCCACAGATATTCCAAATGTATACTTTGTCAATATGTACTTACGTTGGCCTGTTGTGGAGAACTGGCGGTGGGAGCGGCGTTCCGTCCTGGAGAGTTTAAAGAGAGCATCCCCACAGTCACAGCGTTTCCCTCTGTTGTCATAACTGCTATGGGGCTTCAGACTGCGCACCCTTTTCCTGGAGCCTTCTTTTGAACTGCCTTTACATTTGTGTATCCTCCACTTCCCTGTAATCTCTTCCACACAGTGCCATTTCTGTCAACAACAACCAAAGCGGAAATAAACAGCAAGAAAAAAAAGTTTCATAAATTGCTTATTATATCTAGATTCCCAAAATATTAAAAAACTATCCAAAGTGTCCTTGATGGAATTTTCTTTAGAAACTTCCCATGTTACTGTAGCAATAAAAGGATATTTTTGGCACAGCTAATAAGTGCACTACAGTAACTACTGAAATATACGCTCAGATTTGCCTCTGGTTTTTGTGATTCTCAAAGCTCCTTGAGAGAAACGTGCTTCTGACAGAAATATCAGACAAATCTCAGCCTGTGGGAAAGGCTAGCATCCAAAAGCAGCAGGAAAGATAAACCAAAATGACCAGATGTGATGAAATGAGTCTGTCTGGTGTCTAGAAAACAAAGCAGAAACCTCTATCAACTCTCACAGTGGGTATGTCTGTGCTAAGTGCGTCACCAGCATAATTGTGAAAACATATCCACGTTCTCGCCTACATCCTCTGGCAATATTAATTTTGACAAGGAAAAAGTTGATGCTAATTGCTGTGAGTAGTGCTGGTGGTTAGAGCTTGTATAAATGGAAGACGCACATCTGCAGGGCACAGAGCAGATGATCAGTGGTGAGTGTGGGAACCAGGGTCCAAACAAAGGACAATATGGATGATCAGATTTCTCTTGGAAAAGACTCAGTGACGAAGAGGTTATAGGGCCAATAGAGCTGTTGTATCAGCATTAAGCAAGACGGGAAGGAGAAAGAGGCATTGTCAGTATGGGATGAAAACAGCCTCTGCAGAGATGGATGGGAAACTGAGGAGGTGGAGGAGGATGAAAATCTCTGGAGAGATGGACGGGAAGCTCAGAGCAGACATGGATGATCATGCAAGCTGAAAAACTAACAATATGTGGAAGACTCAACGTACCGCAAGATGCTCACACTGTCACGTACCCCCAAAAACATTCATTACCAGAAGCTGTTCCATGTCCCGAGTGGAAAAAGTATGGTGTACCCACAACAAATTATCATGATCGATTCCATAAGAGTGCAACTGTTTTGTGACAGAAACCAACGAGGTCATGCTCTAAGAAGAATCTGGTCTGTCTGAACCAAAATCAGATGTGGTCATATTAACTTTTAAGGCTTTTCTAAAACAAAACCTCAAACAAAGGTTCAAGTCCCCTACTTCAACACTTCAGTTTGAGCCAAGGTTTTCTTCTGTGACAGGGAGGTGAGTTGGCATACAAGGGTATAAAACTATACCATTGATAAAATATACCAAGATATTGAGCCACACCTTTAATTTAGCTTTTCTTGTATGCTAGTAAGCAACTGAAGAATGGCTTGAATAAGAGGGAGTTCAATAAAATAAAGCAGTGAGATCAAGCACTTACTTGCTGTGTGTAGGTACTATATCCCCCTGTGATTTTGTTAGAAACACTCCACTGGCTTTAAGGATGAAAACTGGGAGGCGATGTTAAATCAAGCCAGATGGGCCACTCATGACCAAATGTTATCCTTCATGCTACACAGCAACATATTACAATGTATGCTGTAAATGATTACACATTTTTTGAGCACTACTACAGGTGTTCTCAACTGCATTCATACAAAAAACCCCTGCTCATTTGGAATTGTTCAAATGCTGTCTTTAAAAACAGATTGTTACATACACACCTTTATGTGACCAGTAAAATTAAACTGGATTGCATTAGGCAGCCCCTCGAAAAACTCTGACCATTGGGGGGGGGAAGCTAGGACGATTCTAAGGGCCCACGAACTTTGGGGGCCCACAGTCTGTGGGTAGAGGGCCCAACTTCAAATTTTTTCATAGGGCCCAAAACTGCTAGCGGCGCCCCCGACCTAAAGCTTGTAACAATTTATATTGTTCTGCTCCATTTCCAGGCCTCAATCTACCATTTCACTGTTAGTCTGCCTGAAAATTAATGGGTAGAGATGAACAGGAACGAATTAATGCACCACAAAAAGGGCAAAATGGTCCAATTACAAATCCAGCAACGTACTGTAGATGACTACTTCACTTGTGGCTCTGTGAAATAGTTCAACAGGCAGCATGAAGGTCAGATCAAGTATCAGGGCGACATATTTCTGTTCGCAAAAGGTTGGAAGAAGTAAGTTCTCTTGTCTGCATATGGGTTTGTTTGTTTTACCTGTCCAGGCTGTTCACAGGCTGTCTGGAATTCAGCCTGCTGGCAAGTTTCTTTGACCTTCTTGTACTTGGGCAGGCTGTTGGTGTGTTGCGTGTTCATGGAGTCATCCTTCTTTCTCAGGATCTTTCTGCACAACACAAGTAAAATAACAGAGAGAAACTCATCATCAACAAATTGACTTATTCACCAAGTCAATATGCAGAGGTGGGAAGTAACGAAGTAGACATACTGTTATTGTACTCAAGTATATTTTTCAGGTATCTGTACTCTACTTGAGTATTTATATATCTTTACTCGTACTACCTACATTTGAACACATATCTATACTTTCTACTCCTTATATTTTCCATTTAGGCTCATTAACTTTTAGTTTAAATACATATGAGAGGAGTTATTGATTAATATATTTAGCACTTGCTGCAAAATGTGCACACCACTGCACTGGGTGGCATATGGCTTCATTACTTTGTTTTGTTTACAGTCTGAGGGGTGTTTCACTGATGTGTTTTAACCATTTCTGAACAATGACAGAGGTCTATAGCACATATGAGCAAGTTAATCCAACTGGAAACCGAGTAGATACAGCTCATTGCTGGTTTTAGTTTCTGTATGGGGATTGCCAAAACGGAAAATGAACAAGCTTATCCTTTAAAACTTAATGAGACCTGAAATGTGTTTTTGTTCGTTAATTTTTGCTCGTTTTTATTTTATTTGATGTTAGAATGGTTTAATAATATTGAAAATATATTAACATGACATCAGTTACATTTGCACAGAAACAACTGGTCCTTCGAAGGGCTATTTTTTACTTTTATACTCCTGAGTACATTTCAGTGTGCACTTTCTTTTACTTTTATTCGAGTAAAGACTTTGAATCTGTATTTTTATTTATTTATTTATTTTTACACAGGTATCTGTACTTCTGCTTGAGTAATAAATGTGTGTATATTTGCCTTCTCTGTCCATATGTTATCAAACTATTAAAGTACTACTGAATTAAAGCAGTGTTTCATTTACTTGCTGTCACAGCCCTCTGCTTCTTATTTTGAATGGATAACTAATGTAGTGACTGTGTGTGCCAAAGGGTTTGGGCACGGAGCTCAGCCTCACGCCAGTGCTTCGTTCCATGCCGTTTGACCTCAGCTTGGCATCCCATTCAAATATTTTGTCCCCCCCCGGCTGAGTCTCTGCTCTGGCCATGCCAACCCTCCTACCCCCTGCTGATTCCCCAATTCCCTGCCAACGTGGCCTGGCTGCTCATGACCTACAGACAGAACAACAGTGACAACAAAGCAAAGAACAACCTGTTCCCTTCAACAGTAGGACTGCTGACTTGCCTGATCCTGTCTAGCACACTGTGCCAGGGGAGAACAGTCATTGTTCAAACACTTATTTGGCTGTAGTCTCTATCCTTTGTCCAAGTATAATTAAAGTGCTAGCAGTTGTTGTTGTCACTCCCCAATGGCTGCCTTATGTAGATGATTACATTCTCAAACAACATACTCAGTCCCTGGAGTCAGTCAGCATCTCACAGGCTTAAAGGTTCAGTACTTTAAGGTCATGTGAGGAAAAGAAATCATAAAGCATGTCACATAATCAGCAAGAGAACTGCACAAAAAACATTAGCTACTGTGTGTGTGTTGCTACATTTGTGTCTGAGTAACAGAGTAAAAGATCTGTGAAGGCTAATCTCAGCATTTATAAACAATGTGAATTGATGGAGCAATCAATTAAAGGACAGATCAAATGTCACACTTATTTCAGTTCAAACACAGTGGTCCATACTGTAAAACACCTAGTTCCTCTGTCACACAAACATACACCAGTAGGAGACTGATTTGCGTGTGTGGCACCAGAGCTAACTGGCTCTTCTTTTGTACTCTTGGATATGTGTTTGCAGATGTTGATGCAGTTGCTGGCAAATTAGTGGAAAGGAGATGTGAGGGCCAAGACAGCGATTTGGAGCAAAATGAGAATTGAGAAAAAAAATGATAGTGGGGAAAAACAGCAGCTGTATGAGAGAACGTAACATACTGACATACAGTACCATTACACATGCTTTCAGCACAACCAGTGTTTCTGCTCTCTCCTTCATTTCCTACAAGTTCCCCAATGTCTTTCCTTGCTTATTTATTTAACAATTCTTTTCTAGGGCATCCGAAGACAAACTAGATGAAATGATTTTTCTCCAAAATGTCAGGTTTCTGTTAGTGTGTCTTGGCATTAGCACAGCTTAATATGTTAAAGGAACAAAAGCGAGCTGTCAGATTGGAGGTATCATTTTCTGCCACATATATGTGGAAGCAGAGGAGAGGTTAAATAAGAACTGACAGAGCTTGTGAGAGAGCATGTACAGTATGCAACTGCTTATACTACAAAGAAAACAGTCTTATGGAAACAGTCGAGCACTAGCTGTAGTATGGCTACTGCATTCCACACTGGGAGAGCTGGTGATATGTCCTGTGAGTGGGAGCCTTCCAGCCATTCCTCAGGTAACATCATCCTGAGCCTGGCTAGCCTTTGTTTACTTTGTGCACGTCTACTTCTACCATGTTAGTGAAATGTATCTTCCGCCTGTCTATGCCAGTGCACCAACAGCAGGCTAAGTCAGGTTTAGGGCCCTGATCATGTATATTCCAAGGCCCCTTTTAAAGACAAAGCCTCTGCTTGTTTTTCTTGTAAATGATCAAATGACCTTGTTACACATGTGCCATGTCTTTTTCAACTGCTTCACTGCCTTTCAGGCTGACTGTGGTTAGGAAATGTCTGTCAGATAAACAGCTGGGAAAAGAATCTATGCATTGAGCCTTGCACATTTCAGGTTCTTTTGTAAGTTTTGTGTGACACACAACGCTCTGCAATGACATGGATGTGCTTGTGGTGTGGAAAGGGAACAAAGAATGCCAGTTTACCCTCGCTCCACCAGGAATGTGTCCCTCCAGACTTTGGGTTTCCGGTTGGGTTTGAATCTGAGAAAATTAAATGAACAAGGTTTATAAAATTCATATGACCTGAGAGTAACTGCACCATCAGCTACAGCATACTGAGACATTCTGGAAGCTGATCATAGCAAGCTCAAGACCTTGGGGGTTAAAGGGAATGCTTCTTAAATGGATTATCATAGTTCTTTCTGTTGAATCCTAGCCAACGTCCAACAGGCAAGAAAATCTGTCAAATTGCCCTGCTCACTTTGGCTAAGGAAATTTGCATTTACTTAATAATGGTTAATGAACAGAATGTTTTCACATTGTGTAATTACTGTACAGGTAAATAATATCAATTATAGCATGACATAATGGATCCATACAGACCTATTGCCAGTTCTTTCCTGCTCCAGCAGTTTAAGTATTGACTTTCCATCCATGTCTGGAGGGGTGTCCAGCCCAGCAATGTGGAGAATTGTGGGAGCTAGGTCAATGTTCAGCACCAGATGAGGGTTTCTAACAAGTACAATACGTTTAGTTAATCTTCTGAAATACATCATTGTCTAAACATAGTAATTTACAAGCTAGGAAACTAAGAATGGTTTGAGTTGTTCCTTGGACTTACACTGCCCCCGGCACCACATTGGGTCCTCTGAGGAAAAATGGCACACGGATGTCAAAGTCATAAGGCATCGACTTGCCCTTTACCAACCCAAACTGGCCAATATGGTAGCCATGGTCTGCTGTATAGATAATGTAAGTGTTATCCAGCTCTCCAGTTTCCTCCAGCATGTCATAAACCTGAGCAAATTAAGTGACATGTGAATGAGAAGATACAGAGCGAACATCACAAATATTTAGAACACCTACATACTACAGAGAAACAGATATTAAAACCCTAAAAGAGTCTATAATTAAACAAACAAAAACTTACCTTTTGTACTGAATCATCCACAGACATTAGTGTCTGCAGCCTTTTCCTGTGAAGAAAGTTGGTGAACTCCATGTGGATGGGTCTCATGGGGCCAGTGTATTGCATAATCCAGTGTTTATCCATGTTTGGGGCATAGTTGTAGCTGGGGGTGCTAGAAGGGAACAAAGGAGAGAAAAAACAGGCATGTAAAAAAAGACTTCAGTACAGATAGTTAATGGAGTATGCTACAGGAGCTGCTTTGCTCTGATTGAGTGAACTGCCTTCTGCCCTCATCTCCTCAGGCCTGCTTTGTGAGGAGGGTGAACCCTTCACCCACCGAGCTAGGGAGTCTAATAAGCCTCACAAAAGGGACCTGTCTCTGGGCAGTGGGCCACCAAGCTGTGGGGCCCTGGGCATGAAGGAACCAGGAATGCAGAGGTCAGGAAAATAAAGCCAGTCTGTAGGAGAGGCAACACCTAGCACCTGTCACATATAGTCCAGTATTTTGTGGCATTACAACAGCCTAGGGCTGCTGTTCAACCCAAAATGTCTCATGAACTTACAAGACGTAACAGACGCATCCCACACGGGGATTCTTTTAAGCAACTTGTTGAGCAACAGCCAGAATAAATTCCATTCATTCCTTGTTACCGAGGCATGGCACTGAGAAACCACACCATAGATATAGTGTTTGAAATAATTCATAAGTGTGACTTACATCTAAGAGACAGGGTAAAAACACCTTCAGCAAGGAATGTTAATGACAATGACATCAAACCTTCTCTATGCTATTGTTGCTGTCAAAAATACAAACACTCAATTTGATTTATGAGGCAGCTCCTCCTTTATTACCACGCAGTCTCTTCCAGCTCTGTGCATTACACAGAAGTCTGACATGTCTTTCTATTAATGGATACCAAACCTCCTTGAACCAAACCAAGTCAAAATGGAACATTGTCAAAACAATCAATGTATAAAAGAATTTGCTCCACAACATCTGCCTGTGGAAAAAACATCTTTCCATATCTGTTGGAAAAGTGGGTTGTCAACAAACACCCACTCATGCCAACCATCTCTGTTGCTGCAGCAACTATGAGAAATATTCCACACACACTGCACCTACACATAATCACTGGGGCAACCCCTTTAGTCCAACCCAGGCCCCAGCTCCACCCCCTTCAGCCGGAGGCTCTGACTAAAAATAAATTAATAATGCCACAAAGGGTGTTCCATAGCACACAATGCATTCCTCTTGTCCCAGGACCCGCAGGGAGAAGCTACTGATTGATATGGACAGGGTCAGGAAGTCCTTTGCGCATTACACGGGAGGGAAGGAGGGAAGGAGGGGTGGGTAGAGTGGGCAGGGATGAGAAAACGAGATGAGACAGAGGGAGAGATAAATGGAGAGACAGACGGAATATCTGAGATATAAAGATAATGACACAGAGGGAAATATTAAGAGGGATAGAAAGTGAGAGGACAGAA